TGTACCACTGAGCCGTGAATGCTCTGTCCAGAACTTGCTAAGGAAAATACGATCACGATCAGAGACTATAGCCTTGGGAAGGCCATGGAGCCTGCAGATATCAGAAATAAAAACAGACGCAACCTTAGCAGCAGTGAAACCTCCAGCCAGAGCCGAAAAATGGGCATACTTGGAGAGGCGGTCAACGACTACCATGATGGCTGTCTTGCCGTCGGAGTGAGGAAGACCAACGATAAAGTCCATGGAGAGCTCCTCCCAGATTACTCGTGGGGTGGGCAAAGGCTGTAACAACCCCGCCGGAGACAACGGTTAGTATTTGGTCACTTGGCACACCGGGCAAGTGCGGACAAATTCTTGAACGTCCAACTTCATGTTTGTCCAATGGAAGTGAGTGGAAACTCTGTGCAAAGTTTTTCGTACCCCTCCATGACCACCGATGACCGTAGAATGAAAATCATGGAGGACAGTGGTTCGTATGTCAGAATCACAGGGCAATACCAGGCGTCCCTTGAAGTATATTAACCCCTCACGTATCAAGTAATGTTCAGTTCCTTCTTTTTTTTTCCTGAATTTGTGTTGCCAATTTCACTAATTCTGATTTACTTTTTACCTCCTCTCTGATTCGGTCAAGCAGGGGATTTACAAGGCTCGTCAAGGTCATAACCGTAGCTGCCTCCTGAGGACCTTCCTTGTCACCTTCATGAACGCGGGAAAGAGCATCAGCCACTTTGTTAACAGCTCCTGGGTAATATTCTATAGTGTAGTCAAACCCCAATAGTTTTACCAAGAAGCGCTACTGTTCTGGTGTCTGAATTACTTGTGCCATCAATTCCCGGATGCTTCGCTGATCAGTCCTGATGGTGAAGCGGTTCCCAGAAGATACTGCCGGAACTTGGCTACACTCTCAGTGATGGCGAACAGCTCTTGGACATATGTGGAGGACTGTTGCATCTTGGGGGACATTTTCCAACTGAAAAATGCAATTGGCTGATCTCTTTGGCTGAGGACTGCACCAAATCCAGTACCTGAAGCGTCTGTGGTCAGAACAAAGGGTTCTGCAAAGTTTGGGAGAGCCAAAACAGGAGCATGTGACAAGGCTTCCTGTAGTTGAACCATAGCTCGAGTAGCCCCTTCAGTCCACATAAAGGCATCCTTTTGTAGTAGACTGGTGAGAGGTGAAGCAATCTGAGAAAAACCCTTAACAAACTTGCGGTAGTAGCCCGCCAACCCCAAAAATCCTCTCAGCTGTTTGATAGTTTTAGGTGTCTTCCACTCGAGAATTGCCTGAATTTTTCCCCCATCAGGACGTACCCCACTTGCACTCACCACATGACCCAAATATTCTACCTCCCCTTGAGCAAAGGCACATTTGGTCATCTTAGCATACAACTGATTTTCCCTTAAACACACCAAAACCAACCTCAAATGTCCCAAATGCTCCTCCATGGTTCGACTATAAACCAATATATCGTCAAAAAACACTATCACAAATCGTCTAAGGAATTCTTTGAGCACCGAATTCATTATCCCTTGGAAAGTGGCAGGGGCGTTTGTGAGGCCAAAGGGCATAACCACGAATTCATAGTGACCCTCGTGGGTGCGAAAAGCAGTCTTATAGACGTCTTGAGCAGCCATACGAATTTGATGATACCCAGATCTCAAATCCATCTTCGAGTATACAGCAGCCCCTGATAATTCGTCCAACATTTCATCCACCGTAGGAATAGGAAACCTATTGGGAATAATAACCTGGTTCAAGGCTCGATAGTCAACGCAGAACCGCCACGTGCCATCTTTTTTTTTAACTAGTAAAGTTGGTGAAGAAAAAGGACTCAGACTTGGACGAATGTAGCCACTGGTTAGCATCTCCTTAACCATCTTCTCAATTTCGTTTTTTTGAAAATGAGGATACCTATAAGGTCTAACACTCATTGCTTTACTTCCTGACTCCAGGTGTATTTGGTGGTCCTCTTTCCGGGGTGGGGGTAACCCCTGGGGAATGGAAAACACTGTTTGGAACTCATGTAAAAGATCTTGGACTCGAGGGTCCAGATCATCACCCCTGACTGAAGAAGCTGTAATTTCCTGTTCTACCGCATGCATTTGGTAGCAATAAGCAATGGAATCAGAGGTAGTGAGTCTCCTCAGTTGATTCAGCTGTATGGCTTCGACTGTGATGTTGGGTTCCCCTTGTAGCACCACTGACTGTTCCCCCATTTTGAACTTCATAATCAACTCCTTATAATTAATGGTGACATCACCCCATTCTGACAACCACTGCACACCGAGTACCACCTCCGCACCTTGGATTGGCAAAACATACAGGTCAGGGCAGAACGGATATCCTTGCACTTCGATGGTGACCTTCTGACACACTCCCATGCAATCTAGGGTAGCCCCATTCCCTACCAACACCTGAAATTTGGGTGCAGGTTGGATGGCCAATCCCAAGAACTTCACAAGCCGATCCTGTATGAAGTTATGTGTAGAACCACCGTCTACTAATATTTGGACTGCAGTATGGTTTATCTTCCCTTTCAATCGAAGAGCGCTATTGGAAGGTTGCCCCGCAAGGGCATGGTAGCTGATGCCTGGAACCGAGGTCCCCACGTCCTCCAATTTCTGACTGCTGTTTTCTGGTTCCAATTGGGGTATATCTTCGGCCATTTCATCATCATTTTCCTCTTGCACCATCATAAGGAACATTTTTCCCTTACAAACATGATTTCTATGAAACTTTTCATCACAATAATAACATAGACCCTTCTCCCTTCTTGCCAGCATTTCAGCAGGTGTAATTTTTTGAACTGATGAAGCTGTCTTGGCCGCCCCAGAATTAACCCCAAATACCTTCGCAGGTGTGGGCAGCAATCCAGTAGAATTGGTATTGCTAGTAACTGTGTTGGATTTTGTATAATAATTTTTTGTAAACGATTTATCACTCACCTTGCCTTCTACCAATTTGGCCAGGTCTATTGCTTGTTCCAATGTTTCAGGGAGGTGCATCCTCACTTCCTTCCGGATCTTAGGTTTCAACCCGGACTCAAAATTGCTCTGTAATGTAACATCATCAATGCCAATAACCTGATTGGCTAGGTGCTCAAATTGAGTCTGGTATTCATCCACCGTGGACGTTTGGGTCAATCGAGACAACTCTCCCCTCAGATCTCGATACTTTGAAGGTCCGAATCTAGCGCGAAGAGCAACCAGAAACCCTTCCCATGTCCGTAGCCTCCCATTTCTGTCCATCCAGTGATACCACTCTTCTGCAGCATTGTCCATGTGGAATGAGGTCAACGTGAATTTGTCCGGGTCGCTGAGCTGGTGAAACCCATAGAATTGCTGCACCTTGTGAATCCAAGGTTCAGGGTTCCCTCCTGCAAATCGAGGTACAGTTAGTTTTACTGATTTAAATGGGTTGATTCCCAAGAAATTCTCAGTTCCCTGATGTGCAGATCCTTCTCCTTTCCCCTTCTGTTTTGCGTCAAGCTTTCCCTCCATCACGGTTAATTTCAGATTCATTTCCTTAAGCAGGTCCCCCAGTGAATTAAACTGCTCTTCATGTCGTGATAATCGAGTCATGCATTCATCCAATTTTGTCATGTTACGAGTTCCCTCCGCCATGGTTGTTAGAGCGAAAGTTGCCTCTCAATGAAAGCACCAAAATGATAGACACTATCCAAATCTGTATTTTATTACTGTCAATTGAAAAGAAACGAGACAGTTACAAGTTCTACGGCAATTCGAGGTGCCGGCAACTCCAGAAATTGAGGTAAAGAAGAGATGAAAGTAGTTATGCCTATCAACATACATGCCTCCCACGGTTCCCTCTCTCTGACTATTAAAAGACACAATTACAATGCAAATGGGCTACTTCCTATTATAGGCCCAGAAACCTTACTAAGACTCTCACTTGTTAACTGGGCTCGCCAGACAGGTGGCCCAAGACTCCTACTAACCCAACTCAGTCTATAGACCCCACTAACCCAATCAGACCATAGAACATCTGATTGCCACGTTACTCTTTCTAGACATAGTCCTTCATCCACCTTGGTCGGTCACGCCTCCTCTCTCCCCTTCGTGTCTCCTTGTCTCCTTCCCCATGTGTCTCCTGCTCCATCTCTGTTACTGCATGGTTGAGGTCCGCATCAACAAGCATTTAACTTTTCCCTCTCACATTTATTATTTCAGACAATCAGCACGATTCATTACTTTGTTGAGAATCGGGAGTGCTAGGAAACGTGCCACTGGTTTTGAGATTTTTACACGAAAAAAAATAGAAAATAAACATAAAAGTGAAATAAGCAAAAGGGGTCATGTGAACGAGAACTCGGAGTTGAGAATTCTCAGCAGGCCGTAGCACGCAGCCTTTCATGACATCCAATAGCCGTATTTGTTTCCATTTTCTCTTTGCTGTTTATGTTCCACACTGTTTTTCTGGCCTGCCACTCTGCTTCATCTTTCTTTTTTTATTCTTTATTTCCATTTCCATACTCCATCTCCAATAACCTCGTTTACAAATTTTTGTTTCCTCAACTTATTTTCTCATCCCCATAATACAGTTCAAAAATTTTAAAACATTTTTACTTTTAGTATTTAAAAAAAAAAATTGAAATAACAGAAGATCCTTGTCCCTCACTCCAGCACGTAATAGCTGTCAACACTCGTAAGTCCAATTTCTAACCATCATCACCTTAAACCAAAACTATAATCAAAATCAATGCAACTGTGGACCCACTCCTTCCGTACTTATGGGCAGGACTAAAATGACATCAGAGTTAACATCTTAATTATATCATAATGTCGAACCATTACACATATCTTACGCTTGAGAAGCCCCATCTTTGTCCAATATTCCACCCTGTCAATATAAGACCCTTCCCCCAACAAACAACTTTCACTTCACCTTCAACAACAAGACCCTTCCATTTTTCTCCTCCTCCTCCTCCTCCTCACATGAGTGTACGTAGGAACAACAACAACAATAACATAAGAGCGTAATGGAGAGCCAAGATCTTTCGTCACCCCACGTGGACGCATCTCGACCGTCGCTGGGCTTCCCCTTAGGTACTGCCCTTCTCTTGATCATCATCTTCAGCTTGAGTGGCATCCTCTCATACTGCTACCACTGGGACAAACTCCGTTCCCTCCGTCAATCTTTCTCAGATTCCAACCCTCAAACCCATTCCTCACCCTCCAAATCTATGCTTCACAACACGGTAATCATTTTAATTTTCACAAATAAATAATAAAAACTTTCAACGTTTCAAGCTCCAATTTTACACTATATCTTAAACCCATGATTTTTTATACTAAATTTTTGTTCCGAAGTTTGGGATGTTTCATATGATTTTTATACTTTATATTTTTTTATGTTGGTGGGTGGGTCAGGAATTGAGGCAAAACAGGGGTCAAGGCTTGCCAGTGTTAATGCCAGGGGATGAGGTACCAAAGTTCATAGCGATGCCGTGTCCGTGTGAACCTTCGCGTTCAGAGAACATCACTGTGACCGTGGAGAAGCAACCACCCAAACCACCGCAACTGCCAATCCCTTTGTATTTGTAACTAGTTAGTTGTGCTACAACGTTGCCACCATTTGTTGTTGGAATGAATATTCGTTATTCATCCATTACCCAGAAAAGAGTGTAAGAAAAAAAAAGGAAAGTGAATAGAATAAGGGATATAGGTAGGGTAGCCGGTCAATTAGTAGATTTTGATTACCATTTCATTTGATCCAATCCTTGTGTTATATGTAACTATGTAACTATTGAAGAGTCTCTCCAATTTGGTTATCTGTTCTTGATTTTAGCTTGAAAAAGAAAAGAGTAGACATTTCACCTAATTGGCATTATCTTTTCATAACTTCTAGAGATATTTCTTCTGATAGGAATTATGTTTTGGAGGAAGATATTCTTACTACTAAAATTTTATACTACTAACTTACTATTTATCTAATCACCGTTGAATCAAAGAGAGAGAATGTTAAAAAATTATTGAAAAAAGAGAAAATGTTGATCCAATGGTTATTAAATAGGTAATGGTTAGTAGTAGAAAATTTTGGTAATAAAAATATCTCTTCTCTTCCAAGATAACTACAAATTAACCATTCGTAAATTCAATACATGAAATTATTTTTGAAAGATCTCTAATTTTCTTTTGGTATACTGGTCCCAATCATCTTTATGAAACTAATCTCAAATTGTAACTTAGTTACTGGTACAGCGCATTGTCTCTCCCCAAATGATATGATTCGGGTCTGGTATTGTTGGCTTATCAGATCTCTAATTTTTAAAAGCAGTATTTTATAATCCAGAGGTTTGAATGAACAAAGCCGTACATACCCTCTGTCCTAGAAAAAAGAATGGAGAAAATTCGGACATTGTTTTATGTTTTATTTTGTTTGAGGTCATGGCTCAATGTGAACACAATCTATAACATTCACATGTTATCTTTGTTGGTAAAATTCTTCTTGAAAAATCAAGCTCTTGACAGTAACGTACAAATAATAATTAAACATTAGTAACTTGCCTGTGAGGTCAGCCTATGTCCTAAGAATGGCAAATTGGCAATGCACTTGTAGCGTGCGTACCTATCTAAAACTATAAAAGACCATATTCTTCAAGTCAAGAGGGCACTCAAATTTGCAACCCCAAATTCAAACCCATTTAATATTCTCGTTATTAATATCATATATCTATGAGCTATTTTTGGATCCAGTCCAATCACAAACAAGAATATGCACTTACATTATCATAATTCATATCTTGTTTGGTTGGATATCTATACATCACCGTCTGCGCTGAAATCATTATGGGATATTGGGATGAAGGTGGTCACTGATCCCATCTACCGCCCCAACAGAACCAATGAGATCCACCCAAAATCTGAACACTAAAATGTACAGAGAATGCAGTAATTTTTTTGGTGGAACAGAAGCAGCGTAAAAAGAAGAGCATGAAATGGGTAAGATTAGGATATTGAACCAAGTCGGGAATGTGACCAACTCCCACGGTCACGAATTTTTAAGATAAGAAAGAAGTAATTGGAAAACACAAATTAGTAATAGCCATGCATCACGCTTGGTTTTGTTTTTATGTTACATTAATTCTTCTATATTGCACCGACACCGATACGAGACACGAGATATATTTCGACACGTTATGACAAGTTTTGATATAATATAATATTTTTAATTTATGTAATGTATATTATATTTAGTATTCAATAATTTAACAAAAAAGTAAAGTTAAACTTATAATACACATCAATTTTACAAAGAAACATAATATATCTCAAATGTTTATATTAAACTTAATAAAATTATAATCGTAATCTAACGAATTTAATACTTGGAACTTAAAATGCAACGCAAAGTAACATTTGAATCCTTTTTGAGTCTTTGCAACGAGTATTTGAGTGTCGGAAAGTGTCGGTGAGTATCGGACACGACACGTCAAAATTTTTGAAGTGTCGATGCTTCATAACCTTAGTTCATAGATCTTATCCTTCGGTAATTGTTGCCGGTACATATTTGCTAACAAATCCTCTAATATTAAATAAAATATTATATGATTATGTGAAAAAATTTCAATAATACAAATATAAATCAATAACAATATTTTCATAATTATTTATTTTAATATTTTCTTTATTTTTTTCCTTACCACTATATATCAAAATTTATATGATTATAATTTTTTTACATGATTATATCATATTTTATTTAATTCCTTTACACTTTCTCTTATCAACTGCACTCACCCAAGTGGGGTATGCAGACAACGTGTCCCCACCGTCATCACCTGACTTTTCGTAACAGATAATGCGCCATAAAAAAAGGATCTGTACACGTAAGCATTACATGGAAATGAAGGATCTAATTCTCCCTCACCGATTCAGGGTTGTTTAGCATTAAATGAGCGCCATCCAAAACGACGCAAAATTGAAGTACTGATATATATAATATCTTTATTCATTTCGAACACCAATTCAGGGTTGTTTAGCACTTTCCTAGTTTATATATTGTATCTACATAACACGTGATACGATACCATATTTTAACATATTAATTTTAAATGTTAAATTTTGATACGTTAGAATATATTTTGATATTGAAGAATATTTTTAATTTATATAATATATATTATATTTAATATTTAATATTTTAACAAAAAAATAAAATAAAATTTATAATACTCAACAATTTTGTAAAAAAATATAAGATTTTAATATTTATTATTATATTTTTAAATTAAAAATCTCTAAATTTATTCAGAATCCACTTTTAGTTTTTATTATATTAATTTGATAAAATATCCATCAATTTTTTCATGACATGTAATGAAATTTTAAATATTATAGATGTCGAAACATGTCAGAATATCAAAATGTCGAAATGTGTCGAACACGAACACGACACTTCAAATTTTTTGAAGTTTTGGTGCAACACTCTCAGATTCTATTTTATAATACAAAATGTATAGACCCATTGTTATCTAAAATATCTACATTGGAAATATCTGAATTGGACATCTACGTACAATATAAAGTTAAATGTTCAAATTCTAACGTCCCAATTCGTTAAGATTTGTGTTTAGTATTGATATTGGGGCTAAGAAACTCTTTTATGGTAACGGAGCTAAGAAGTTTTATCATTTATGGAGTCACTTTTATGTGTAATTACAAAATAAGATAAACATAGTAGAATAAATAAGTAAAATTTGTTGGGATGAACTCGGTTCCTCAATTTCAGCTAAGTAGTCTTTGCGAACGTCAAACATCGAGCTCGGAGCTCGACTATCAGAGAGGTCGGTATGAACTCACTAAGTCGACCTATATGTAGCAGAAACGAAAAATATAAAGGAGAGAGAGAAAGATGAACACTATAACACCCCGTCTGCAGCCGATTTGATAACATATGTATGGTTACAAAACTCGTCATAACTAATTACTTTAGCGAAAGACTTTCCGTAAAAATATCATCGTTACACCGAATAACATAGTGACTTAACTTTTTCCTTTGATTTATCTTTACATATCGTCGTGCATAATTTATTTTTCAATATAATATATTTTATACAATCTCATACGTGCATAGAATCTATACTTAATAAACTTGTGACCATATCTAATGATCAAATCACTATCCGAATATGATAACATATACTATTTGGAACAGAGACTTTACAGACAGCATAACAGTTGCAAATTGAACTAATCCAGGGATCAAATCCCACTCAATATTCATAACTCTTGATAGACAAAAGAGTCCAATCCATCTATATACATATATATACCAGAATATGGCTCTGTGCCATTACTGATATCAACCTACTTAATAACATACATACTTATACATAATCCTGCTATAGGTATACAAATATCTATAGGCTACATACGCTTCTCAAAATAGAAATCCATACTGTACATATGCATGATCATAACATATCATGCTCTACAAAACATATACCTATATAATGATGCTCCAAAATGCTGTACTGGCTATCTGCTCCAGCTAATATCTCTAGTCACCTTGAACTGGTCTCTTGCCTTGCGAGGGCTCTCCTGCTACTGTAGTACTTGAAATGTAAGTCCCCAGATGGGGTGAGATTAACCATCTCAGTAAACACAGGGTTTATGGAGTAATCTCCACTCATGAGTTCACTTCTTGCATAATTGTCAAATAACATAGCATAGAAAACATCATATATTCCGTACACATACATAAGACTTATAGGAGTATACTCCAAGGGCTGTATCCTGCAAAGAGGGCCTAACATAAACCTCCAAGGGCTATATCCCACAAAGAGATCCTAACATATCCTACATACTATATCATATTATGCCATATCACATATCATATCATACCATTACATATCATACCATGTCACATATCATTTCAGATGCATGAGCTACATGAATGTAGTTATACTATATATATACATTCATCACAACACATACTATGTGAACCAGAATCCTATTGGACCATGGTGGAACAACATACAAGAGAAAATTCATAAACCAAGAGGTTACTTGGAACTAGCTTTCCTGTAAACCCTGCTCGTACGTTACTAAAGTTATCCGTATATCCGTAACAGTTAAGATCACCTATTCAAACACGATCTTTATGTAAATAAATAATTAGTTGCACTTGAAGAAATCCTCTTATGTACACACATATTTTGAAATTTTTCTTCAAGTTAGTTCACATAATCCTTAAAATATTCTTACTTACCAATTCATACCAATTCACAAGTCAAACTCTCTTTTAGACATATTCTTAAAATCTTACATATTAACACATTTAACCTAATTAGCTTAACCCATAGGTTAACTTAGGTTTCACACTTTCACCATACTTAACATAGACTTGATTTTACTTAATTTTACTTAATTTATTCAACCAAACACTTAATTGAATTAAAAATCATACCTAGGTCATTAACCATATAGTGGCTGAATGGTACTAATAAGGTTACCATGCATTTCATTCTTCATCAAAGACTACTCAAGGCAACTCTTAACTTCATTTTTCATTATTTAGCCCAATGACCATTTAAGGTGCCAATGACCATTCTATGCTTTCAACTAATGAACCAACTAATCCATTTCAATCT